ATCGTCGGAAACCACATAAATTTGTGGTGAATCGAGTGGGCGTTAACTAAAAATATGATTACAAATCAGATATGTATGAATAATATTTGTCACGGTCCATCTTTTAAATTACAGTAGAAGTCCCTTATTCGCGGAGGATACGTTCCTTAAATATGCCGCGATTATGGGATCGCATTTATTATAGAAGTATAGGGGGTACGTTCCAAGGTTCCAAAATAAAAGCAATATATATGTTAAAATAAATACAGTTGAGGTAAGATTATTGGCGAACTACTACTTAATTGAAATTAATCTTTATTGTCAGCTTTAAATATAGGTTTATAAGGTTTATTCATTATCGTTTTTTGCAGTCTTTATAGATCTTTAAATTCAGATTCATAATTAAGTAGCTGTAGAATTCAAAAATATAGCTTTTTTTAAAGTATTTTATGAATGTTATAACGAAGCAAAAATTACAAGGCGTTATAACAAGCCATCTTTTCACGTGCTCGAAGTATTTAAATTGATGATGCCTTAATATACTTCGCTGAATTCCATTATGTAGTCGACTGCATCCGCGAATAAACAGATTTTAGCTGAGAGTACAGAAATTGTGTTACAATTTTTTCACTGGCGAGTAATGAAAACGCGATTAAGGAAGCCGTTAAATAAGGAGCTTCTACTGTACATTATTTATCTTTGCCAATATTTTTACTTTGTATTGACTTATGACCATTAAACGGGCATAATAATGTCAATTCATGTGCTTTTTAAAGCTTTGCAATTAGAATCAACACGCAAATGTTAATAATTTATACATGATCGAGTGTTCGGAACTTGAGAAACAACAGAATTACGCCGCCAATGTTCAATTATACTATGTGACGTGCCGTTCGACGCGGAGGTCGACGACCGAAATCGGCGCGGGCGCGACCTTGCATCGCTCGCCTCACCTACATACGCCGCCGGTCGTTTTCTGGCTGCTACGACGACGCGACCACTTTTGCTTTCGACGTTCGCAAAAAAATATTGCACAGCCAAATAATGTTACGAAGTGTTAGCTCACCATCAAGAGTCCAATGTTATGTTATGTTTAACATTGGACTCTGGAGCATAACAAAAAAAACTAGACAATAGCACACAAAATATATTGGTATCTGATAAAAGAACAACCGTCATTTATAAAAAGAATGTTAAGAAAAAGACATAATGATCTACTACGAAATTAAATTAACATCCCCATAAATACACCTGAGGTATTAAAAAATCTAGCAATAAAAAAAATTGGGTCAATTAAAAACAAAGCTCCCAGTGAAGTGCGAAAAGAAGGGGAGGGCACAATCCTAGTTATAAGTCTTGCATCTCTAAGTACAAAGAGGGCGCACCCTCGACGAATACTGACGACCCCACACCATCCCCTGGCGTGCCACCCTAAACGCAAAAGTCTCACACCATAAAATAAAAATAAGACAAACTGCCTAAATTTCAAAGTTCATAATAGTAATACAGAATTTGACTACGTGTGAAAATTTGTGCTTTACTTGGTAGATTTTCAGTCAGTCGTACAAATCAAGATTATGTTAGGTTCCCTTACCTAACATAATCTTGATTTGTATTAGATTTAGTTTAATAAGCAGTTCAAGTGAGAATATACAAAATCTGTTATGGAAGTTTTACTCTCAGTTCAATCGCGTCAAGTGTACGGTGAATGTCATGTTGCCGAAAATAATTCAGAGTTAGGACGGTCGGTCAACGCAGCGGTGCGTCTCGTTGCGTCACTGTACTGGACCGTCAGGGCATTGCACCGTGCACAGTTCACAATACCAACGACATGCTATCCCGCTCACACAACCTCTCTACAGCCTTTAACGATCGATATTTACTATTCATCATACAGCTGATCGTTGTTGAAAATTATTTATGCATTGTTTTATAATTAATCTTAATGAACTTGCGCAAAGGCGAAACAACGTAATTAATTTTCGAACACATTTTAATTGTTTTCGTTTTTTTTGTTTCAGTGGAGTAGCGGTGCTGAGTCCGACAGAAAGCGGTGGTTGCAGCAGTAGTGACATCACCGAGCCAGGGTCACCGCGCAGTCCCGAATCGTCGTGCAGCACCTCGGAAGAGAGTACGGGCGCGGGCGCGCGCATGCCGCCTTGGGCGAGCGACCCGGCGCCGCCGCGACGCCTCGCGGCCCAGCCCGCGCCCGTACGTCGTCCGCACCCACCCGTACATCGCCGCATCACCGAGTACTTTAGCCATAAAATGAAGCCTCAAAATGGAGTCAAACGTGATTCTAGTGCTTCCAACAACGAAGACACCAAGAAAAAGTGCCTTCCTAAAAACGGCGTGACCCACGATTTAGAGAAATACATTTCATATTTATCACAAACGCTTAGCCCTAAAGTTTTGATGGACGTTGGAAAACAAGCTGAAGCTGTCTCAAAAAAGCCAAATCCTACTCCTAATGGAGCGGTTGAATGCATTAAACCTACAGATGTCTGTAAAATTACTCCTAATACCAATGTAAACGGTATAGTTGATTTCGGCAGACCAAAGGAAAGTAAAGAAAAAGGACACACGAATTTAAACGGGTTCGTGGATGTTCGACAAGCAACTGAAACCCTCAAAAAAGGGAACGCACATCTCAATGGGTTGGTTGACAATAAAAAGCAAAGCCTCGAGTTTAAAAAGACACTAGACCCATCCGCCAATTTTATTTCAAATCGGTGTAATACGTCAAGCGGGGCAGCAAAAAGAAAAGTACCAATACCAATGTCACCCGAATTAAGTAGTATAAGAATTGCACCTGCAACTTCTGCGAGCCATTTACTGAAAAAACCTACAACAATTCGGCCCGACAATAGAGTAAATGGTCTAGTAAGTTCTACTACAAAATTAGATAGTAGGATGAACGGGGTTACTTGCGGATCAAATAACATAAGTTTAAATTCTATTAGCTCAAAAGCTTCGATGGCAAAAAAAGAAATTGCTAAGAAGGCACAACCAACTAAAAGAACTAATCGTAAGTCATCAGCCTGCATCGCAAATAGTAAAAATCTTACGTGGTCTAAAGCTAATAATTTAAAACAGGTACAACTACAACAACAAAGTTGTACAAATTCAGCACAGAATTCTTCCGGCACGAATATTTTAAATGAAGCAAGTACAGCACCAAAGATGAATATTCCAAATGGTGTACGACAAGTTTCAATGACAGTTAATGCCAGTCTTGGTAATTTGAATGTACCTGTACCAAACTTACAAAATTGTCACCAAATTAATATGCAACCATCTTGTAATGGAACAGTACCTTCTAATAACTTAGCATCGTTCGTAGCCGTTCCTCAAAACGTGATGTTAACTACTTTAAGAATACCTCCAAATGGAATACCGGCACAACAGAATAGCATGGCCTCTTTCAATAGACAAAACGTTAACGTCACAAGTCCGTCAAAATTAAATGGTCAATTTGTATTTCCGCTTATGCAAAATATTAACGGAACAGTAGTTCAAATACCCAATTTAATGGCAAAAATGCCAAACTTTGTTCTTCCACAAGCTCCACAGTTGACAACACAAAGACAAGATCATTTGCAAAATCAACAAGCCGCACAAATCCTTATAAACGGTACGCTATTGAAGCTAACTAACACAATCCCGTCTACATACCCCAATGTAAATAAACCTGCCCCTGTTTCGAGTCAGTCTATTCCTGGAATGAACAAGAACGTTTCTGGAATGCCATCAGTCGGAATGACTGTACAATCCAAACCGAATTATACCGTGAATTTCAGTCACCCTGTGTTGATGCCACAACCTGGATATATAGTAACGTCAGTGCCAAATATGAACGTTAAGGAGACCTGGAGCTATACAAGCACAAACACGCCATCATCTTCACAAAGTTCATGCTCAAATCCTATTGTTCACCATCCACCTCCGATGTTAGCAAGCTTTACCTCACAAGCTTTACATACCAGTAGTATTCCTATAGCGCCAGTCAAACCACCTGATAATCCTATCCAAGGAACAGATCCACCCAGTAGCACAGTTACGGATACTATTGAAGTAAATGAAGTTACAAGCTCAAAATGTGATATACCATGGCTTTCGAAAACTGTTAATAATAATATTGTTCCGTTAGATACTAATAAAATATCTTCGAGGCCTTTTGCACAAATTAGTTTATCGGAAAAAATAGACAAATTAGCTATAGAAAATTTGAGAGAGTCGAAAATAGACGAAGAAGGGCTAGATGTTATAAGAAATATTAGTACAGGAGAAGAATTAAGAAAAGTCGAAGAAGTAGCACGACGGGAGGAGACTATTTTCACTCAAATAACAGTTCTAAAGGACGTATCATCAAACGTCCAAAATACTGTGATAGAAGCGAATTTCTGTAGTGCCACTACAGAGTCATCTGAATCGGGGATAGGAACCGACAAGTCTATCGATTCTCCTAGTGATTCTCAAGCAAGTAAAGAATGTGACGAAGATTCATCGTTGTCGTTAAGTGTGAGTGTGTGTTCTGTGGACGTGCAGAGTAGTCAAAAGAGTCCTATTTTGAAGCAACCGAAAACGCTGCGATTTCCTCCGCGGAATCTGGTGAAAACTGATAGTGACCAAAGGACGTCGAGTACAGATACAACATCAACCGTCACATTGTGTTTGTGGGAAAACTGCAAGAGCGAATTCGAAAGTGATACGGATCTGCTGGAGCACTTACAGGTTAGTTTATTATTTTATAAATTAGATATCGTGTTTCATCGATATTACTGAAATTGAATTTTACAAAAGATTTAAATGGCAGATATTTTAAGCTGATAATATGCCAATTTTCATAATCTTATGTAATTATTAGATCAGACAAACAGACAACCATAGTCTTATAATATTTCTTTAACTATTATATATTTTATGCTTTAATAAAAAGGATGGAAAATATTTATAGATGATAATAGTATATATGTAGTTGTAGCAATTTCACTTAAGGGAAAAAGGATCTTAGCCTTGTATGGTCTAGTATTACTTCCATAATATAAATTTTATGTTTACATAAAAACGTCGGTGCCTGACGTTTTAATGCTTCCCTGGAATTTTTGAACCAAAATAACCCTTAATTATATCTACCGTACCGTTGAAATTTCCAGTCGGTTCACGTGGAATCTCAGGCAGGCAAAGAGAACTACGTTTGTCTTTGGCAACGGTGCAAAGTGCGCGGGAAGCCGTCATGCTCGCGGCTGTGGTTGGAGCGGCACGCGCTCTCGCACGGCGGCAACAAACCGTTCAAGTGCATCGTTGACGGCTGCGACAGGCGATTCTCTACGCAGGTAATGTACTTTTTCCGTAATTGTGATCTTGATCAAGACTAACATATCGATCACATAACAAAAGTAATAAAATATCACGCTTGTTTTAATTTATATTCTAATAGATTTTGCTTGGGTTCATCGATTGTTTTAATCTTGTTTAGAAAGTTGGTTTTGGATTTTTTTTTGATATATAAATAAGAATAGATTTGTTTATCATTTTGATTTTATTACTCTCTATTGTTGTTTCTTCTACTAACTACTTCTACTAAAATGTTTGGATTTCAAATATCCACAAATTCAAAATCATTAATATTAAGTAAAAAACGATTCATTATAATGCGTAATATTACATAAAAAATCTGGCTTAAAATGAGAAAAATCTTAATATCTCGTTGGCTTCAACTGTCTTAAACTATGCATAACTTCGATCAAATGTTTGTTTATTAGTTTGTTGTGTTTTTTAAATTATGCTGACTATAATAAGTCTTCAAATATTCTTAATGCACATACTCTGAGATGAGATTACCAGGGACAAAGTGGACTTTTTAAGCATTTTTCATTAAGAATATTTTCCGGTATAGCATTGTGAATGCAAATTGCTCAAATATAATAAGCCTTCAAATCACATCCAATCCTGGTGATTGGATCTATATGTGATTGAAGCTGTTTGTTGAATATTAATTTTTATCATCACGGCTCATGTTGCCTCTTCGTCGTCTAGTCTTAGTCGTTTAGTCGTCTTTAAATACATAGCTCAATCTTGTATCGATGCATTCACTAGAGACAGTGGCACATCACTATAAATTGCATCACTCATGTCGTTTTAAGAACCGAACCCATCGTTTTTTGAACCTTAAAATTTGCTGTTTTATTCGATGTCATAAAATAGATTCAAATTTTTAAATAATTAGACTGTTAATGTCGTCTTCATAAACAAATACTACTAAAGAAAATTCATAAATGTATACGAAGTTCTTTACAATTGTTACTCTTTTGCTCTCCAGTGATGTGGCCACTTGGATTGATGATAGTATGAGTTTCTTCGATCTTCTTCGACACGTGGTGATAAAATAATGATAAAAGTGTGATATTTTCTTTCCTAAGGACATGAAGATGAAGCTACAATGCAGGCTATCTTGATGAATGGATCCACATATCTTATTATTTTTGTCTACCAATATATTTATCATATCCTCGTTCAGATAATATAAATTTATTGCCAGACATTTATTTCTGTTTCGTCTACCACGCCCGTGGCGCCGGGCTCTTTTTATTGGACTAAAACAAGTATTGTGTTAGGTCTAAGCTGTAGTTTATTATGAGTTTTCTTTTCAGGTTCTATTAAATGCCTAAACATACATTGGAAAATTTACGAAATGCTAATTGCATTAATTTCAAAAGCTACTGAACCTATTGGAGAAGAACTGTACTTGGAAGTATATCGTAACATATATCGTAATTTAATATTTCTTTAAAATATTTCAGATTTTGCTTGAGAGACACGTCAACAACCATTTTAATGAAGTATCTCCGAACACCAGCGGCAGTAAAAAGACCACCGACAGTGCTTCGAAGCTCATACGCAGGAATGGGAAGAAATTGCGGTATAGAAGGCAACCTTGGTCAGGTAAATATAGTTATTTACTTGACATAGAGCTTTAAGCTATGGTATCAAAAGTATTTAAATCGTCTAACTTATAATGAAGAGTTATGAATAGTGTAAAACCGTGTTTTGTAGCACTCTCTTGTATTTACCTACCCCTGAAGTGTAGATATAATAGATATGTTATATGAAATATCTTTAAAATATTAAGCTTAAAAATTCACTAGTTTGGGCACCCCGAGACTACTCGAGACTTAACAGGACTGACAAATTCAAACTGTTATTGCTTTCGCTATTAATGAGCGTATTTTCATCAATGTTCAGGATATCTTTATGCTTATCTTGTAGCTAAATACTTAACAAAATTAACCGTCTCAGACGCCTTCGACAGAGTTCGTTAACCGGACAACTGCTCTACCAATTAGCGTATTTATTTATCTATATTAAGGGAACCTACAGAAGAATAATATGTTTTTGGTTAACGTTTCTTCAATGCATGTGCAGACCCGGATTTACGATATTTTCTAACCGGTGCAAAAACAAAAAAAACGTATGACACCCTTCCTCTTAAACCTTATTAAATTTAAATATTATTTTCAAGTGATTTGTAAAGGTCATTTTAACTCTGATTACCCTGATCCGTGCTTACATGTGTGTCCGTGGTATTGTTGCAGCGCGCATGTTCGACTTCTTCGACGCGGGCACGATGGAGGGTCTCGCGTGGCGACTGACGCGCGTGACGCGGTGGCGGCTGGGCGGCGCGTGTCCGCTGCGCGAGCCCGGCGGGCGGCACACGCTGACGCTGACGGCCACGCTGCACGCCACCAGATACAACGCCGCCGCGCGCAGGACCGAGGCGCTGCTGGTCTACCATCCGCCGCATGTGTCAGTATACCCAGACATACACACGTACCTCCGCCGGTTTCATGGTGTTGCCATCCCTAAGGTCCCAATGTAGAAAATGAACTTTTCTATATTGTCTCGCCTCTGGGTGTTGTGGTACCTTCGTTGTCTCAGATACTCCATAATACAAGGTCTTTAGCTACTCGTCTAGAAATCTGAGCAATGTATGTGATGTTGTGTAATATTTATATATATTCCTATTCGATTCTTAGCTAGATCAACTAGGTTGAATGGAGAAACGAACAGAGATAAAGGTGCAGCTTATAATGTTTAAGCACCGGCATTTGTATATTACTTTTTAGAAGAAGCGCTTAGCCGATTATTGAACTGTGATGGATGACACAACTAAATTTTATCAAAATCATCCTTAAGGTTAACTTACCAACCGCGTCTAAAAAACGAAAGTTTTTTTTTGAAAACTATGAACGTTCACATGCCAATATGTGCCTTACCCTAAGGCATTCTTATGTCACCTGTCGTTCAGTTGTTTAGGTTTGCGATGCAATTTCTGTAGAGCCCCTAGCCAGCTTTGATTATAAAATTGTGTGGCTACATTTGTTGTAATTAATGTTTCCTTTAGAGTAGTTATATTTATTGAAAAAGCAGCTTACTGGAGCAAGGATTTAGCATAGCACAATACAGATCATAACTAAACTGAATAAACGAATAATATCTTTGGGATGAATGTCTATCCCTAATGAGTATACTTTATGTTACCTAGAGAGTATATTTACCCCGCCAGTTATGTATACTTACAAAAATCTTTTTCAATCAGGAAACGAAATAGAAAAAGTAAAAATTTAATTTGTAAATTGTGATTGATATATTTGATCAATTTCTCATTCGATCAATGCTAAATATTCTTAATGAAAAATGTCAGGGACCAAATGGATTTTTTAAAGAATTTTTCATTGAGAATATTGTAAGTTTTGTTTTATATAAAAATTTAATCATTAATTATACGTAAGCTGCAGGATACTCGTAGTGTAGTACTTATTATAGTGCAAATGTACGAATCTTTGTCTCTGTTTGTTTCTCTACTCGTGCATCCTCGGTTTCTTTCAAAACGAATGTATATAAACGTTGTTTCTGCGAAATCCTACCCTTATCCAGCTTGCCACTTTAAAAATACTTATCAATTTTTAACGTATTATCAACCTTAAATTAATTATCGAAATGATTTGTCGAAGCGTGTCGATTGTTTGTAAGAATGTAGTGCATATTATACATGCGCTCATATTAACTCGGCTTAGGACAGTCTATATTTTACGGACGATTTGTCTGGTATCATTCGATACATAACGTTAGAAATAGAACTGACAAATATATAAAATGCTCGTAACTCGAGGCTTTCAGAGGTGAAGTCCCGTCCCCTCAACACTGACCAAACAGAACTAACATTAAAACTTCACCGTTTTACAGAACTAGATCTTAATTATAAATAATGTAACATTCGACGCTCACTAAGGTATCAAGAAAAAAAAAGACATTCAACGTTGCTCACTCAACCATTTTTCCGTTAACACGTGCGATGAATCTTCCGTCGATTGTGTGCGGACCCTTAAGAGAGGTTCTTGCTATGCTAAGGCTTAAAATACAATAATATACGTATCTGTGTGATTAACTAAATGTTATATTACATTACATAATCTATTCAGTCATGTATTTTCTTAAATATAGTATTCTTAATAGATTCCGGAATCTTATTAAATATTGTTTGACACATATAGTAGCAGTTATTTTTAAAATCGCGCGTTTTCTGGATTATGTCAAGAACTAGCCTATTTTTATTTCTAGTGTATTCTCTGAGATACACTTCATGAGCTATTTAGTAAAAATAATTATATACTTTGTAAGTGCTCCAGTTATAGGTCGATAGATAAAAGATTATTTAATTTCAAATTTATGTAAAGAATATACTTATGAGTAAAGGCTATTTATTATAAAGTTGATGATTATTTTAAGGACCCTAATGCATGGAATTATTAGCCTTCGCTCTGTTTTATAACGATTAATTATAGGTATGTACCAACCTATGTCCTACAGACTTTGAAACTTGTATTTATTATTGATCAATATATGTATTATTTTGGTAATGACATGATTTATGTAAATGTCATTACTTATAAAAAGCTGGTTAGTTTCTTTCGCTTGTTCTTCTTGTCAGCTAAAAGACGTCCTGAACAAGTGGTAGAGGAAAAAAAATTTTTGGACGATTCAAGTGCTTGTAACAAGCTTACTTGAATAAAAACATATTCATTTCATTTCTATAAAATATTTGCGGTTCTGTGAAAACACTTTCCTATTCTACTATTACATTACTAAAATATATCAAGACTTCAATATAAAGACAGTTCACAAATGTTGATTATATAAACATCAAGTACAAAAATAAGTGTGTTCACAAATAAGCTTATCTTTTCAGGTAAGCCCGCTTGGAGCATGATTTAGTGAAAATCTTTAAGTTTTAAGCAAGCACGGATTATGGTATTGTCGGTTTTTGTAACGGGAGTGTGGTCATTTGCAAGTTAACAAATAAATAATCGTGAACTATTATTCAACTAGAATATGATGTTTATAAAAACTATCTATGATGTGTTAAATCGATATTTTCTATATGATTTCTTTTGAATAATTCAAATGAAATTAATATAAATTTCGATTTGCCTACAGCTCAGAGTTTATCATCGACATATCTAAATATTTGTACCAGGTAACACAGGTGGGTCTTGTAAATCCACACTAGTTTTGTATATTTCATTGGAAGACTGGAAAAGTGTTTTTGATTTCAAATCTTTATATGTTAGATCATTGCCTTTTTTTAACTCTTATAATTTTTATTTTAGATTCATCATTATTGACGCTATTTTCGGCACACATTATTCTTGTATTTTTAATTATCACAAGTAGATATGGGTGGACATGGACAATTTCTTGAACCATATAGATTTAAAATACTTTAAGATCCATATTTTTTGTTTTATTAATTATCACTCTTTTATTATTTCTAGAATCAGGCCCATAAGGTACATAATTTAACTTTATTTCTGGCTGACTCATATTCAATTAAATATTACACTTAATTAAAGCTTGATCAGTAGAGCTTTTTTGTTTTCTAAAGGGATCACTTGCATTAACATATCAACAAACTAGTCAATGATATTGACCCCTTAGAAAAAAAGTGAAAAATATGATCTAAATTGTTTTATGCAGTTGGTCCTTCTAGCAACATATATTGCATAGAATGTTCAGTGTTGCCACTTTAACGTGCCACGCAGAAGAGACCAATCGTATATATGTGAAGTTGCTAGCACAATTAAATTAGTTCTTTTTTCATCTGAATTAGAGACTAATTTCGTCTTTCAAAACGTAGTTTAAATGTAACTAATGAAATCTAACTTTTTGCTAGTAACTCTATGGGTTGTTAGTCTTCTTAATGTTAGGTTTTTCTAAGCCGCTAATCGTTGTTTGATCATAACACGTTAACATAACATTTATATATCTTTGTGTAAAACCAGTGCACGGTTATTTAGATGAATATAAACTTAACCATTCTTCAATCATGCTTTCTAGTTGCATGTTATGCTGTAATTTTGCTTTTAGATTGACCGCCCAACGCTGCAAACACACTCCCGACCGAAATATACTGTGCCATGTTTGAGATTAAACGAAATTATTTTCAGTTGAATAATTATATGTGAATGCTGCATAATGTAAATCCTGTTGCAAAAATTGAGCTCTATTCATCGTTGTCATTCGATAGTATCAAAAATTGAATGCGGATTCGTTATAAGTTATATAAATTCGGCATTAATATTGTATTTATGACAAACATTTTTAGAAATTCTTCATGACGTGGTAGATTTAATACCAAAAAAAGCCAGTCTGTTGTTTGCCGAACGGGAACTCTCATATTTTGCATACGGATTACCGCCGCAGCTGAAGAAACCCGTGGCCGTGTTCGCAGCGATCTTCGCGTGGCACGCGCCCCCGGACCCGCCGTACTAAAGTGTGCGATCACTCCACAGGGTCGAGGACGAGTGGGTGCCCGTGAAGGAGGTGCGGCGCACCCGGCGCGTCGAGATCTCGCAGCTGACGGCGCGCGCCAAGGTCACCCTCTACGACCAGTTCTGCGCCGCGTACTCGCCCGCGCCCGCGCCCGCCCCGCCGCCCGCCGCCCCCGCGCCCCGCCCGCCGCGCGCCGCCCCGCGCGCCCCCCGCGCCCTCTCCGCCCTGCTGGCGCGCCGCCCCCCGCACTGCCGCGGCGACTGCGGGCCCGCCCCCGCGCCCGCGCCCCACTCCACCGCCCCGCCACAAGCCCGCGAAGAAGACAGCCGCCCCGAGGTGTCCGGCGCCAAGAAGAGGAAGATGGGCCGACGGTACGGCGGCGACTGCTTCTGGCCGTCCGGTCGGTAAGCCGGACTGGTTTTAAACGCGTCCGCGTTCCGCGTAGATCTCGGGCCGGCGGCGGGCTAAGATTTTCGATCCGGCTCGCTCCCGTCGCCGGCCGCCGGGAGGTCGTCCCCGAGATGCGTCGACGACCGGCGTCAAAATTTTTACTCACAAGACTGATGCTTAATTTTTTTTGTAACGTTATCGATCGACGGACGGTCGAGCTCCGTAGGCGAGCGGCCGACCTTGTATATAGCTAGTGCGAATGTGTAGACGACGAGACGAAGCCAGGGGCCGGTACGGCCGGTAGCCCGTAGTAGTCTGAGTAGCGTTAAGGCGACCAGCATCACTGCCCCTCCTGTACATAGTTTTAGGTTTAAGTCTAGTGTAATCGATTAGAGTTGTCGCTTGGATGTGATCTGTTCGAAGTCGTGCGGGGCGGGGGGCCGACTCGTCCGCCTCGTTCGATTCGTCCGCCTCGTGTCCGGGGTCCGGCCGCGTCGCGACTCGCAAGTGCCTCGACGTAGCGCAGATTACCGATTACGTAGTGTTCACTTTATATCATTATATACCCGCGTAGTCATATCAGACGAAACTCGCAGTTAGTGTTAGCGTGTTTAAGAGTTCGATTTTGATATTCGATTTTTTAAACGTCCCCGTCTCTGTGTTCGAATCGTTGAATTTGAGCAATTTTCGAAAACGCTTTACGAATGGTTTTCACGTGAGACGCTTTCGGTTCTGCCGAGCCGTCGTCCTTTGTAGCCTCGACGAATGTAATTTTTAGCAATAAAACTTTTGTGATAAGTGAGTTATTAGTTAAATGTTCGGTGTTCGTTTCCATTAGTGAGTCATTCCGTGTGGCGTGCCCTCGTACGCGGCGCGAACGAGAAACATGCGCACGCGTCGATATGTTCTAGTATCGAGTAGGAGACACGGCCGTCAGACCGCGAACACGAAACATAATAATAATATAATCATAGATATATAAATATATTTTAAACTATTATATAATCGCGTAAGCCTTAGCGAGACACCTTAATTCGTACGGTCTGATAGGTCCGGCGACGACGGTACGCACACTCGAATCGCATCGAACGTAACATGCCAATAATTTCGATAATTTATTATAACGTTCAATGTCAATAAACAAAGTTAAGTTAGCAAAGTTGGACGACAGTGTTTAGGTGTTAAACTTTTTGGAATCCACTTATACAGAAGTTGTCATATTAATGCCTTTTTAGCAATATTTAGGATTATACAATTGAATAAAGTAAATTGTGTTCTGTGCTCACACGATCTCGCTAGTATTTTTTTAGTTAGTGCCTATAGAGTTAAGTTAGAATGAATAGCGTGTGGATCGACGCCGATGCGTGTCGTTCGGATATTAGCTTATCGAAAACGTAGGAGATTTCAGAGATGGGTTATTGTGTGCACTAGACGCTAGCTAGTGTGGCTCGGTACGTAGACTGTGTGAAGTGTTGACGGACCGGTCTCGGTCCAGACCCAAAGAAATATTTAGGAAAAATTCTCCAGTAGTCGAGTTGGTGCCTGATTGTGTCGGTGTGTTATGGGATCGTATGATAATTCTACAGTTTAATGACTTTTTTTGGAGCGTTTCCAATGTACTGATTATTTTTTTAAATAAATTTAAAAACTAGACTAATTATTTTCAGCACTGACGGTAGTGCCATATTTTATTGGCTCGCTTTTTTTTAAATAAATTATTATTTTTTTCTAGTGAAATAATTCGACACCAAAATCGGAAAGACAAAACGTTATATTTGTATAACGAAACAATTATGGACTTGATTCGTTTGATCTCAAATAATCTGCGGTAATAGATTGTACAGCTAGGGGTGGCATCGGGCCCCCTTTGGTTCCTCACACTATCGATGTAAGTTTCGCTCAATACTGATAGTAGTTATTTTCATCTATATTACAATATGCGACTAAACCATCTGGCCTACGGATACTGTTTCTACGAAATTTTCGTTCGCTTATTCCTAAATGAATTCTTTGACATAACAATAAATTGCCGAACTAACCGTATCTTCTTAAATATCTATAAGATTAGAATTAGGCGTTCGAAAATTTATGCAGAGAGATATTTTATGAAAGCGAACCTTGTTCTCGAGGTAGGTACTAAATTATATCGAAAAAGAAAAAGAATTAAATAGATACCATTAAGTCGTAAGCGCAAAAAGATTTATATTTTTATCACTGCCACAATAGTAGTAGATATGTGTCGATAAGTTATACTATTTTATTGTGTTTTTGCCTCGAGTGTGTGCGGGTTCCGCCCTAACATTGCTCATTGATTATTGAGAGATTTATTGATAGTAGTCAAGTTCAGGACTTCTTAATTGGAGCGTCGGGTCTCCCTTCGATTTGTATTGTCTGTAAATCTTCGTCTAATTAGCACCTGTAATGCGAGTGGAGGGTGCATAGTATTTTTGAATGAAATATTATTTTTTTACGTTTACTTATCTAGGTAAAAGAAGTCTTAAATCCAAGCGTAAAACGGACACGCCCGAGGCAATTCCCTTTGTATGGTTACATTGAAGTATTTTTACGGGGAACAATGGTAGTCACTGCTAATATTGTACTACAGATGGCTAAACAGGCGATGGAATATTGTTGCACCATCTCCATCGTATTCTTTTTCGTTAAAATAAATTAAATGTTATTGTGTATAACGCCAATATCCCTCGTTTGTGCAGACTTCTGTGTTGATCGCATATTGGTTATTTTTTAATTACACATGAATCAACCCCCTTAAGATAACAAAACAAAACAGTCGTTCAATGTAATGTTTATACAGAGCTGAGTTTGCGATCTAAATCGGTGTAAAAGTGAATTGTAGCATTTATTCAAACGATAGTAGCCAATGTGCGGCCAGCAACTGAACTGTTGGAGTTAGATGTGGCTCGTTGGAAGTCTAGATAAAGTTTGTGAAGGCGTGAAACACATTACAGCTGAGATGCAGACGAAACTGACCCTTATTGTCATCACTGGTCACTTTTATCTGCGCCTATGAGATTCTAATAGCCAAAAATCGTCGACGCACGCCGACCGTCGCGCCGGTTGCGCCATTTGCGCCATTTGCTTACTGTAATTTGTGGCCAGACTCAAAACGGAATGTAAATAGTTAAGTGTATTTATTATTAAGTATTATTCTGCATAATCTGTAATTTGCTTCGCGTCTGGTTGGAGGTAACGCCGGGGTGTTGTACTAGTATGGAGTTGTCTTTCAACATGTTTCCTATATTATGCGTTTATTATATGAATGTTCTCCTTTATTGTAAATGTTTGACGAGATACAATAGTGACTTTATGTGTAGCCTATGTATCCCGGATAGTGTGCACTACTTATATTCAATTTGTAGATATTTAATTATATATAGTATAATGTTTAATGCGTTGTCTCATTTGCTTTATCCCTCTATGACGAATTCCGAAATGTTTAATTATAATTTGACCCAGAGAGGACGATGGGTGATCTACCTCATATTAATTTATCACACATTTGGGCATAATACATAGTAAATGATAATTTGAACCTTGAAATTTGTTCAATGTAGTGATTGTTAAGATTTTTTTAATGGTTTGTCCATCTGTCACAAGTACTGTATCTTATATTAAATACATATTGTATGATTGATAAACATTTGTTTTATTTTTGTTGTAATAAATATAATAATTATTGCGACAGACATTTTTCTATTTATTAGTAACGACCTGTACAATTAAGTGGGTGGGTAACTGACCTACGATATGGAAATTCGATGTTACGGTATTTATATTAATCTGCAGTGCTCTTCTGTTAAAGTAGCTCGGTGGCGTAGTAAAAAAACGCCGCAGCTTGCAATCGTCGTTGTTAAGGAACCTTCGCAAGGGTTGGTCACGGGATGGGTGACCAATATATTATCTAGAGCGAACGATGATGAATAAATATTAAACATCACATACTTTGCTCAGATTTTAATACCAAAATAAGTAGTTAAAGCACTTGTATTATAGAGTATCCGAAACAATAAGGGTACCACGACACCCAAACCAGTGAGACAATAGAGAGTTTATTTTGCACATTGCCCAATAGGCTCTTTCGGCTCTATTAGATATACGAGCACATTGATGGTGGTAAAACAAACTTGAGACTGATTATAAGCTTTAATCATTTGTTTGGTCACCAACGAACTGGTCGTCGCAAACGATACGCGACATTAATGAATATATCAAATTTCCACAATTTATTTAGAGCTCTGCTTTTGATGAATTAAGTATAATAATTATAATAATAAGCCTTTAAATAGGTTAAGGTGAAAATTCAAGAGCTTCTGTCTTGATTTTGGACCTAGAATTTGTAAGTTTTCCTTAATCTGACTTCGAAGCTGGTGTGCTATTGGCTGTAGGTCCCCGAGAGGATTCACATTTATCACAAATTACATTAAGCACACGAAAAGTATGGCAAAAAATCTTTTTTTTTTTAAATACGACCCATGAACCACAAGATAATTTTGTTATATTATTTTCGTATTTCTCGCTAGTGTAGTTCATTCATTAGGAAAAAAAGGATTTTCAGAGAATTTTTAATAAAAAATGTAACAATAAATTCATTTTTGACCATTCATGGCATTTTTTCAGTAATAAATAATTATTTATCACACGTTACACAGAACATATATTACAGAGAACCTAGAAAAGATGTTATTTATTGCTAAATAGCAATTTCTTCCTGGCAACTTACGACGAAAGAAAAAATTGATAATATAATAAACAAAAAAAAAAAAATTTAGTGCGTCCCACGTATTATTAATCTAAATAATTATTTTTCATGGTTAACTTTCATGGTCATCAACATCAGAATAATATAAGGCAACCATTCTAATACATAGTATAGTACTGTAATATCTTTGTTAAATGAAAAATAATTAAAAGATCAATCGTCTCAGGAGGCCGAGTCGGGATTTCAATTCTGAACATTTTGCTAACCCAGCCAGTGTAGTCTTACATTAGTACATAAATTTAATTCTCATTCAGTTAAGGTCTTACACGCCTCTGACCGGACTAGCGAAGGGTTTCGAGTCCCTCAGGGCTCTGGCCCTGCATATTTTGCAAGGTCATCGTATGACCGGACATTGCGACAATTATTTAATGTCCGCTTTGCAGACTGAACGCGCTAACCGCCGTGCCATCAAGCTCCTGTTTTTTTAATGTTTAATCATAAAATATGGATAAATATCATTATCTATTTTCTTCAGGGCTTCTGCGATGATATCAAAATAGCGCCATCTCTCACATCTGAGTCGAAATGCAGATTTTGAGATTTCGGATTTGAGAATTCATATAATATTGAGAGTAGGGACAGCGCGACAAGGCGCTGTCCCTACTATACAAAAATACTTAAACAATCAATATTCAACTAGTAGATCAGTCCTAAGATTGAATTATTTGATATTATATCTCCTTGGAATATGTGCTGTATTCTAAAATTCGATATCATCATCAACCATTTATTTCGTCCCCACTGCAGGGGCTCAGGCCTTCCTTATAGATGGTTAAGGAGGATGGGCCATGACCCTCCACGCTGGCCCAATGCGCATAGGCAGTTATTAACGACTGCAAATGCAGTCGGGACCAACGGCTTAACGTGCCTCCCAAGCACGGAGTAGCTGGAGATATTATTTTTTTTGTCACCCATCTCGTGATCAACTCTTCCGAAAGTTGCTTAACGACAGTTTTTAGAATTATGTACCTCGACTGCATGAATAGACGACATTAACTAGGTACTTTCTCAAAAGTTCAGGAAACATTTTCCTTATAACATTATGTATTAAAATGGATGAACTTCTCAATTTTAAATTATCAGGGAATTTTGGGGGAGAAAAAAATTATTCTACACCTAAAGTTCAACTCGACTTCAAGCACAGCGCTGTTACAGCATGGTGGTTCTACGAAATATAACCTAGTTGATTTAGATTTATTTAAATATTGTGGGTTCTTGCCAATATAAAATGAACATCACGATATCAATAAATTATTGCCTATAAGTACTCGACCTAAGACATTGAGAAGGTTACAAAATTCAAAGAAATATGTATTACCTGAGTTTAAATTGTAATTACTTTAGTATTATTGTATCTGAACCCCACCGTTTCTGATAAAACCGAAAGGGTTTTTGGATGTAATTTTTTTTAAATAATTTAATATATTTCAAATTCTTTTTTGACAAATAAAAAAAAGGTAATAAAGGTTTTATATATTTTAAACCTTTAATCGATAGCATTGCTCAACGTAGAATTCCAGACTATTTTTATTACAGAATAGCCAATCCTTGCCTGCCATTTGTGTGCCGTTTTAAGTCGAGTTTTTCTTTATGATGAGATTACAAACTTTAATATTTAAATCGTAATAAATTATTGAAAACAAGTAAAACGTACACAGGAATTGAAGACGTCAAATCGTCCAAGGTCGCGTTTCCGATTTCTACATGCGATGCGATCATAGCATATTGTTATTGCAACGCGATTAATTGCAATATAGCGATAGGTATACCTAAGCAAGGGAACGCTTGCTACCGACGTTTCACAAGGCAATCCGATACCGCACCAGGGGTTCCCAACTTCGTTATAATCTTTTACCAAACACCTGGAATTCATAATTATCAAATCAATGTAGCTGTAGCAAACCTTGATTGTAAATTTTTCAATGACCGCATTATTTATACCTATAATTTGGATTTAAAAATAAGTACTTAGCTAATTGCATTGTAAGTGAGACGTTATCTATTGCGGTAAATGTAAAACTATAATATTGATCGAATACCATGTCTAGTTAGTAATTGCAACATATCTTAGTTCTCTGCAAGATTCAACCACATCTGCAGACGGTCCGTAGAGGGACGAAACACAGCTGGAGATGTTCACCGTACGAGTTAAGTGTTGCCACCTGCCCTGCGATTCTGTAAAAATTCAAATCCGTAGGTATTCGAATTCAAAAAGCGGCAGCCGCTCAACCTTCAATGAGTAATAACGATTCGTGGCATAAGTGAAGTGAGTTTCGAATTGACATAGGAATAGAATATCTGAGACACGTATATTCAACCAATTTTGTTTTGTGTTTTTATACAAAAAATAGAATTTGTAAACTAAATGACGTGTATTCAGACACATGAGTGAATTCGAATTCGGGTCTGGATTTTTATAGAATCGCAGGGTATGTGGCAACATTTTTGTCTGTGCGCAAATAAATTACAGGTAGATACGTCTTTGCTATTCTGTAAAACTATTATACTCTGATACTGTTATCAGAGTATTATTTTAAGCTTTTATGGCTGTGTACATACGGATTATAGTTTATCGCGGGATTGCTACCATGTACCATGTCTTTGTTGAGTTCCCGATACAAATCCCGAAATATCGGGTACTTAACAAAAATAAGGAACATGGTAGCAATCCTTCGAAAAACGATCATTCTACTATGTCAGAGGTTTAATTAGTAAAAGAGTTGCACGAACGTTTAAGGACGCTTTTAACCTCTAACGAATGTTAAATTTGTATGCCTATATTTTAACAGAATAAGACAACAGAGCTCGACTCATTCAACTGTTCCGTGCAAATATATCATACTGTATCAGGTATCGTCCAGACTCTTGATGTTACAAAGTTAGTGTTTGCATACTAGAAACTGGTATATAACTTTGATTCGCAAACTCAAAAGATGAGGGTCCACTAGAGGCTTTTCCGACCCTGAAAATTACGGAACCTAATTTACGTCATTTGCCATTTTTATTATACTTATTTGTAAGCCACTATTTCTTCGTCGAGGACTTCGATAGTGCAATGATTAGCGCGTTCGGTCTGCGATGCGGAGGATGAGCTACATCCGCAGGCGTCAGTCACAGGATGGAGCTAGGGATGAACTTTACTACCTACCTTTTTGATTGATTTCTTCGGTCCGTAACTGGCTGATGTTGTCACCTTTTTTATTGCGGGTTCATATCTTTTTATAATATACCTACTGACTGTTTTCTCGCGACTAACCCCGAGTATTTTCGAAGATTACTCCCTACAAACAAATAAAACTAGACACTTGACCTCTTTAGGATATAGGTAGGTAAATACAGGTTTATTATTTCGACTTGTAGCTGTCTGTCAGATTGAATAAATGCTTTTCATTTTGGTCTGCGTTCGATATGTTTACTTGGTATTACATGTATATTCCTTCTTCACTTTGTTGTCTATAAAATTAATACAGGGCCCTATTATTATCTCACACCGTCCACAGGCCACAGAGAAGACCTGTGTCGCAGCAGGTGGGGTTTTAATAGCGCAGTATGCATACATTAAACACGTATTCTCTTTACAGGCTAATGATGAGATGAAGCAACAATTTGTACTGATAGAGAGCCTACGCCATTAAATAGGAACTTTATTAAATACCATTAAATAAGAAGTCTGGGTGCTAGCTAGAACAACGTTGTGTTCTACAATATGGCTGGATTGCACCATAAGAGTCTCGGAATTCATTATTCTGAGATAAGAACAATTAAAGTTGTGGTTACGTCATATTATGTCAAGCTGTCTTTAACATTGACCGTAGAATGCATTGCACTATTCATTCTTTGCATAGTAAAACAATAACTTTAACCAGTGCAGCCGTATTATGGTAGTCCGGCAATCACGAAAAGTTTTTTACCACTGGATTCGGAGTTCGCACAACCGTACGCACAATCCGTGCGTGAGGTAATTCAAATTAAAAAAAACATCCCGGCAATTTCAATCGTAAAGATGGTTTTTAATTGTCAACAACTTGAAATCCAGTGATAAAAATACTTTTCGCGGATGCCGGACTACCATAATACGGCTGCGATACAGAATAGGGATTTGGTTACTGTTGTATGTGACGGTACCTGGGAAAAAAATTGGACGGTGGAAATGGATTTCACTTTAGAGGAGGAGACGGAGCATCATAGCAACAGTCAGCCCGTGATCACGGCCGGTAGAACCCGGTAGAAACGTCGGGAAATATAGGTAAGTGAAAAACTTAATTGTCAGTCTATCGCGTTAATACACTTTTCATACAA